AACTGTGGGAGGTAGTGGAGGACAGAGGTGCCTGGCGTGCTCTGGTCCATGGGGTCACAAAGAGTCAGACACGACTAAACAACTAAACAACAACAACAAACAATGTGAGAACCACAGACATCCTTCGAAATCTGGATTTTGTGATGTAGTTCTCCAGCCAAAATACATGTATTAGGGGAAACTGTGCATAAAAATGAATATATTTGAGAAAATCTAAAATGCATTATACTGGGGGAAATGCTTGCAAAAATGTGTACATGAGTCAAAACCACAAACAATTTATTAGGAGAAATTCAAACTAAAATGCTGATAAACTTCATGAGATTTTTTTCTTTTAAAATTACAAACGGGTGCAGTAATGTGGTGAATTTAAGACAGGAAAAAGAAATGGAAAGAACCAAAATTGGCAGATCCTTCCATTGCTAAGCTTCAGACAACCAGCTACTTTGCAAAGAGAGAAGTGCTGAAAACCAGGAAATGACTGGGGATAGATCTGAAATGGAAAGTACTTTCAAAGGCAGCTTGTGATATAGCATGATAATCGGCTTCTCAAAGAGTTTAAGGCATCCTACTAGGTCTGCTCCAGTAACTTGGGATGCCTAAAGCAAATCTTTGGAATATCTCCAATGTCTGAAAGCCGTAGGATATCCTGAACAAGAATTATCATTGGGAAGAAAAGCAGCTTTCACATAGAGTTATTGCTCTGCTTTTATTCTAATCTTTGATTAATCTGGTTTGAATAAAATAAAAAAACTAATGACCATTAGATAAATGGCAGACATCACTGTTTAAGGAAGTTTTTAATGTTTGAAGTTTTATTCTGTTTTTAGTGTTCTGTTGGGAGCCGCCCAGAGTGGCTGGGGAAACCCAGCCAGATGGGTGGGGTATAAATAATAAAATTATTATTCTTAGTCTTATTTAGCCACCCAGTCCATAACCAGGAAAGCTCCCCTTAGTGCAAAAAAGGTATCTCAATACAAACAAAATCTTCAGCATGGTCTAAAATGGATCTAGAATTTGGGATGAAATGGCAACAGATGTTGCTCCTCAATGACTGTTATGCAGAACACTGCTTCTGTCTGATACAGGAGGCAGGATACAGCCATTGTGATTAGCAGTTCTTAATTACTGCCATACCACTGATAGAAAGTTGCTATTAAGTACTGTAAAACTGGTCAGTTTTATTGCATCTCACGTAATTTTTTGTCTATGGCAAAAGGTCATCAAAAAAGGTTAAATCCATACAAATAAAGGGTTTTTTTTACGTCTAGAAATCATCATAAACTAAGATAACAAGTCAAGCCAAATGCATCTCTAGCTTTTTCTGTAGAAGTTTCACATTTCCATTCCAAGAAGACTTGGTCCACTCACGATGCTCTGAAGCTATTGAAAACACCTTGTAAATTGCTGTGCGAGGAGAATAATTTCACCGCTAGCATGACAGGGGAATACGGGATTGCAACTATCATTTTTTTTCCCAGCGGAGAGACAAATCTTATGGCAATAAAAGGAAATCTTTGCTTGTGAATCGGGGTCTAATATAACAGGGCTAATGTTTCTCTGGTTTGAATGTACAGTGAAGTGGGGTGACTGTGGAACAATGGCTCAGGAGGACCGTGATTGTCAGATAGATTGCAAACAGCTGCCTGCCTCCCTGAATCCAGCCATGCTGGTCTCTGGCTGATTCACTTTCATTCTGGCCATCCTAAGCCCTTCTTCCAAGTTTCAATAATAAAGGTGCACGTGTTATTATTACAGGTTTGAGATGGAAATATAGTCCAATAAAAATAAAGTTGAACTTTAAAATAATTGCAAAAGAAATGGCTTTTTGAGAGAACAATCAGGCTAACATAACATACTGAAAGTTGCAATGTCCAGCTCAATGCAAAATGGCTTTTTTCCCATTCCCAGTTACTAAGTAGTCACTTGATTTTGTAGTATCTCCACTGCTATGGGGTCAAATGTCCCCCCCCCCATTTTTTGAAAAAATAACTTTACAAACACTGAATATCATCAGAACCATAATGGGGGGTGGAATTCCCTCCAATATTTATAATACTAATCTTGTAGGTTTTACTTTCTATAGCAGCATTAACACTTGCTGGTGTTAAATCATTACACCCATAATCACTGCTCTCATAACCACATGCAAACTAGTCATCTACAAGACACAGTCAAGCATGATGGCCCCATATCAATAATAACCAATGGGGGTTAGTAATTAATAAGGAACTGGGATGCGCTCCCTACAATGTGTTTGGGGTCACCCCCATTGTTTGACAAAGGGGGTGGCCCCAAAAGAAGTAGTGGGTCTTTTTCGACCTTGCAGGGGACACTGTGATTTAGAGTGGCCAAAAGTAGTTCCTTGACTATTACTAGAATAGTACTAGATGCCATGTTTGACAGTGTTGTGCATCCAAATCAAGCATTAAGCCAGATGCAATTCAATTATATCTCACAGTGAACACTCCCCTGGAGGTGTGGGCATATTGGGTCATAGAAGCTGGACATTGCAACTATTAGTATGTTGTTTCTTAGGCTAATATTGTCTCAAATATATTAGCTATTGTTTTAAAGTTTGCAAGTATTTTTCCCTATCTTTATTGGAGCAATGGCCCGGAATATGCTAAAAACCAAGTAGGAAATTTGGTTTAAAACATTCTGATCAATTTTAAAAGAAACCAATTTCAAAAAAGCCAACCATTGGTTATGAAGTTGGCTTTTTAAATTGGATAGTTCATGCGTAATCCTAAACCAAGATTCAATGAAATCTTGAAGCAGAAGACGCACAAACAGTTCACCTGGGATCATCCACATAGCAGGAACCTATGGTTTAGTGTTAAGTACAAACCATCTCACAGATATCAAAACTCATATTTTCCAGCAGGCAGTTTCTGCTCCAGTTTCTACTAAACTTTCTCAAGTTTAATAAAGCTCAAAGCAAGCGAACATTTAATATATAAAACTGAAAGCATCCAACAAGATTAAGTACAATTAGAACTAACACACTTGCTGATTACAAACACATTTTAAACGCTAAACAAACAAAGTATTGTATTTTGGTCCTTTTTCTTGCATGACACTGTTCAGGGATGTGTCATGCACAGAGACCCAGATGTTGAAAATATTGACTTTTAAAAAATGAAACATCTGTTAAAAAGAGATTCCCAAAGGTTATTTAATCCTCCATGATTTAATGACATTCTGACATTCTTAAAGTACCATAGCAAAGTCCACATCTTTTCATAATTGTAATTTAAAGCTTGTCTGAACACACATTTGCGCCAATTTTTAAACAGTCTCAAGCAAAAAAACAGCTCAATTTTCTCCTGAATTTCATTGATTAAAAAACAACAACCCTCAGCCAACATACTATTTACATAATTTTATCAGTGTGTTTTAATCTACATTTAACCACCTCAAAATGTTTGGAAACATACGACTTCCTAGAAGAATATACGGTAATCTTTAGTCATTATATATTGTATTTCAGGAAGCAGAAAGGTAGTGCATCATATCTTTGGGGATTATAACTTAAACTTTCTTGGGTTCTACTCCAAAAGACACCAGACTAGCTGATGCTTTGTCTGGCCACAGACTCACTCAAACTCGGTTTAACCATCTGTTAAAGGAATGCAGAGCAGTTTTACGTAAGACAGAGCAAACATCTAACAAAACAGCAGATGTAAAACCCACAAATATTTCTACTACAAATAACCGCACTGTGTACAGGCCGGTCATACTACCACACCTAAGTAGCAGAATTATATTTTTTTGACCCGCGGTTACAAGGTCTTCTGGCCGCTCCCTGGTCCTTGAACCACTCTCAGCTAGAGAGACTGCCTTCCATTGCCATCCTTGGGACCAACATAATCTCCATGCCCCTGATATTCCATGTGTCTAAGACATATTTACTGAACCTTTTCCTGTCCTATATGGTGCATCTTCTTCTGCGACAGGGACATCATTTTACTGTCCCTGTCCTGCATTTTGGACTTTACAACTTTACAAGCTCACCAGTCCTTTCAAATGATGAACTTACTCAGATAGCAATATCTACAAATAAGGAAACTCAACAACGCCCCACCCCCCTGCTTCCTGGTGAATATTTATCTCAATCAGCAACCTTTGCACCCTTAGTCACTATGGCTACAAACTATAATGTTTTATTTTATAGTTTTTATCTGGGGACAGTGTTTTAACAATTAAAAGCTGGCAACCAAACCAGTGACATAAGCGGTTAAATGGCTTTTCTAGCAATGGTGCCATCTTTGTATGTTCAGGTGGCACTATTTGTATTTATTTTTCTCTCTCTCACTTTCCTCATAGGGAAGGAAAAAGTTGAGAGAAAATGAACAATACCCACCTAATTAAACTGAACATGATGAAGGTGGAAGTGGTTATTGGTATACCATTAACAGGAATAAAAGCATTACATATACTAATAGAATAATACTGCTATGGGAATACAGTTGCAAACACTTTGTATAAATATTCAGGCCTTGCAATTTGGAGTTTTGTATTAATCTTGGCTCCTTTGAAAGGTTGGTTTTCATTAAGTTTCCATCTCTCATAGTTACAGAGAAACACTTTAAAATACACAAAGGCTCAAAAACAACATAAATCTTTTATAAGACCCCCGTGGTCTTTATGCATTTGGTGCACAAAACTAGCTTTCTCTTTTTGCAAGTGCTATGGAGTGCAAACCATGTTCAGTAAATGAGATGTATGCTTTTCCACTCAGGCATAAAACTATCAAGCCCATAAAAACACGTTAAAGCCATCCCACCATAACTAACATCTTTGATCCACTCAAATCCAATTTCTTGTTACTAACTTGCTTGGTGATGAGTACATATGAAAAGTACAACACGCAGGAAGTGAATAGAACCCTTTTTCTAACTAGACAAGCTGCAGATCACAAGAAGTAAAGCATTTGTCAACTTCAAAGCTATCAAAAACCACAGAATGAGAAAAAGGCCCCTGCCCCATTTGCTTACCTGGTAAGGAACAATACTTGCATGGGCAGTGCCCCAGCGTTTGGATTCTGTCTTGCAATTTAGGTAAGTGCTTGCTACATAGGTAAGACAGGCGACCTGCAAACATGAAAATATGAAAAAGGCAGTGTCAATGTATGGAGATGTCTGCAACACTACATAGCATTTTAGAATGAAGATACATATGCCCTCCAAATTCGAGTCAAAAAGCAACGTTTCAGGGCACAGGGCATGAATTATTCTGTAGGAAAACAGGAAGAGAATTACTTCTACAAGGTGAGCTAAAAGGCTATAAATGCTGGCTAGATCATCACATAATCAAAGAAAAGTGGGGTCGTTATAAAAGTCTTTCATAAGAAGATGGTCAGGTGCTTTTCATTATCAAATGTTGGGTTTTTTTGTATTTGCCAGGATTAACTAGGACACAGAATTTGGTGCCAAGCCACTTGAGGCTAAAGAGCCATTTTGTTCTTCCATGGCCCAGCACGGCTCCATTCCCTGGGGCTCTATTGTTGGCTCTTGGTCTGGCCTGGTTATAAATTCTCCTAAATCAGGCCAGATCTGGAATCTGTCTGGTCCCCTAAAAGGATGTCACTGTCTGTTCTTGCTCTCCCTTATCCCAGCTTCTATGCTGCTACTTCTCTGAATCCTCTGCTCTCTCAGCTCACTCTCTTAACCCAAGGCATGGCCTGCAAATCAGCTCTACCTCAATCTGAAATCCAGTCCTTACCATGTTACAAGTGATCAATCTCCTCCAGCGCTTGATAACTTCTCTCTCTCTCTCTCTCTCTCTGTAAGACTGAAGGACTGGGACCACTAGAGACCAAGGTGGACTTAGCTGGTGTGCTTCAGAAATGATTCTGTATTTATGTTTTGTATTACGGATTTATTTTGAAACTTTCTATATATGAGCTGCATTGAAAAAGCTTTGTTTTGCAAATAAATATTTAAAACAAATATCTCTTATGCAAGAAACAATTTATTTTGCTAAAGAAAAAAATGAAAGACAAAACTTATTACACATAATCAAGAGAAACACCTAATATTTCAGCTGTTTTATTTCAATTTCAAACGCTACGTTTGAAGTTTAAGTGTTAATTAAAAATAATTATTATCTGGGAAATTATCCGGGAAACAAAGAGCCAAAAACCAAATTAAAACTCAAATGTCAAATTCTGAAGTACATATCTTGAGGTTGCAGTTTCTCCACAGATATTTGAAATATGAGTTTAGAGAAATGTTCAGACTCAAGGAAAGCAGCCTTTCCCAGTATTTTTGTTCTAATCTGGTTTATCGGCAGAAATGGTCATTTTACAAGTCTTCTCTCCTGTAGGCTGACTCTTATGGGCAAGGCTACCAAGAACCATTCCCTGCTATTTCTGGGACACAAAGGTGTCAGAAGCAGAGTCTATGGTTTTTTTAAAAAAAACAACAGATAATCTGTTCCATAAATCTATTATTTGTTGCCTACCATCTAAAAAGGTAATTGATCACCTCTCTGGGAGCCCGTACGGCTTAGCACAGATGTGGGGAACCTCTACCTCTCCATATGTTGCTGAACTTCAACTCCCATCACCCCTGGCCATTGGCCACACTTGCAAAGACTGGTGGGAGCTGTAGTTTAGCAACATATGGAGGGCTAATTGTTCCCCACTCCTAAGACAATTGCCTGCCGATATTCCAATTGCCTCTTGCAATTACCTAAAATGTGCTGGAAGCACTCAAAGGTGTACTCGCATCTCACACAAGCCAACAGCTGGACTCAGTAGGCTGTGATGGGCAAACTAAGGATACATCCTAAATCACAGCAGAATCTTCTTCAACACCCAGTATTTCTTCAGCAGACATGCAACCCCTACCAGCCGCTGGAGTGGGGCAGCAGCCTCAAGCAGCTGATTTTGAGGTGCCACAAAAAACAACAACATTGAGAACATATTACTACTGGGTGGTATAAAAAAAATGGTAAATGAATACATTGTTAGTTAGTTATTATTGTTTTATTTCTACTGCCAAGGAATAGTGCTTGCGTCCTTTTCCGCCTCAGATTCTAAAATGACTTGACAATCCCTGGACACCAGGCATCCTCACTTGTGGGGTGAGGGATATCATTCACTGTTCTGTCTTAGGCAGCAAAACATATTTGCCAGCCCTGAAAGCAGCAAAGATGTAGAATTGTAGTTTCTGGGTCCCAGAGCCTTCTCAGAGCTTAAGGCAGCTGCTTCTTCCTTCTGGAAATACAGGCTGAACTCCCTTTTCCATCTTCCCATCAGGCCAAAGAAATCCTGCTCATCGGAGGATGGGAGGAGTAAACATCCCAATATGCACCTCCACATCAGTGGATATCCCCAACCTTCTTGAGGCTTCCCCTTCTTCCATGATTCCTTGGGATGCTCATAACCCACCAGGAGTCTTGAAGCCTGCAGGCTCCATTCGACCTCACCCTGACCCACCTGCAGTCCATACAAGCAGATTGTCCAGCTACTTGTGAGCAAGTAGCTTCTTCCTCACCAAAGAATTCCCTAAGGAGTAGGAAACTGCTTTATAGGATCATTTCCCTACTTCTTAATACGTCTGGGTCTACTGTTTGCATGTGTTTTGGGGAAGAGACAATTGCGGTTATTTTGAATTCCTTCTTCTTCTAGGGCCACAGCAGCTGCAAGAGAGCTAACATTCACCAGAGCTTCCAAATGCTTTGCAATCCTTAGGAGGTAAGACAAAATAATACATCCCATTACCCAATTATTTAGTCTGCAGGTTACAGAGTTTTCTTTAAAGCCTACAAGGCATTTTTTGTTTCCATCTTAAGAAGCAAACCCAAAGGGGTGGCCTTCAGACATTAAAGCAGATGCCCCAAAAGATAGTCTCAGCATTCATTCACTTGCACAGACAGACCTACCTGCTGTAAATATATACCATGTCTGTCTATATTTACCAAACACTCCTTCTTCAATTTATTGAACACACACACACTTGAATTCTTCTGTCTGCAATCACAAAGGATGATCATGTCACATGTTTCATTCTACACACCTAGTAATATCAGAGCAAAACTGAAATTCCCCCGTGTAATGCTAAAACTTAATGTTCTTAAAACCCAAAATCAGACAGCCAGGGAAACAAGACACTAAGTGCCAGAGGGGAAGAACAGGCAGAAAAGAGGGAATCGTGTTTCAAGAGGCTTTTAAAAATCCCACAAAGTGTCATTACTGTGACTCTGTCAAAATAATATGTATGTAATGTCCCAAGCAAGCATGGGTATTAAGAGTTAAGTGAAAAGATGGGAAATAAATTTTTAACAAACCATTTTCTTTATATTAATTCATTGAAAATAATTGGGCATTCTGCATCTTCATATGGCTTTCTTAAATTTAGAATCATAGAATCATAGAGTTGGAATAGACCACAAGGGCCATCGAGTCCAACCCCCTGCCAAGCAGGAAACACCATCAGAGCACTCCTGACATATGGTTGTCAAGCCTCTGCTTAAAGACCTCCAAAGAAGGAGACTCCACCACACTCCTTGGCAGCAAATTCCACTGTCGAACAGCTCTTACTGTCAGGAAGTTCTTCCTAATGTTTAGGTGGAATCTTCTTTCTTGTAGTTTGGATCCATTGCTCCGTGTCCGCTTCTCTGGAGCAGCAGAAAACAACCTTTCTCCCTCCTCTATATGACATCCTTTTATATATTTGAACATGGCTATCATATCACCCCTTAACTTCCTCTTCTCCAGGCTAAACATGCCCAGCTCCCTTAGCCGTTCCTCATAAGGCATCGTTTCCAGGCCTTTGACCATTTTGGTTGCCCTCCTCTGGACACGTTCCAGTTTGTCAGTGTCCTTCTTGAACTGTGGTGCCCAGAACTGGACACAGTACTCCAGGTGAGGTCTGACCAGAGCAGAATACAGTGGCACTATTACTTCCCTTGATCTAGATGCTATACTCCTATTGATGCAGCCCAGAATTGCATTGGCTTTTCTAGCTGCCGCGTCACACTGTTGGCTCATGTCAAGTTTGTGGTCACCCCAAATATGTATTTCCTCCTAGTTTATCCACCACAATTAGAAGTGGTGAAAAGCAACAAAACCCAACACAAAACAGCTTCATATAAATATTTATACTTGGCACATTTATGGATGACATTAAAGGATAGGATCGGAATGGTGAAGTGTCAAAATTGGCCCTCCTCGGGCAAACAAAATGCCATGCAAGGGTGAGAGATGTATGGCACCGAGTGTTGGCAATACCTTGTTGAAAGATGTGAGCAGAGGGAAGGCTAGCCCCATCCTCATAAAGGCCTCACAGAGTTCTAGGGTGCAGCATCAATTGCTGGAGAAGGAACTATCTTCTTGGATGATATCCAGTAGGGGTAACCAGAGGTTAGCAAATTTGCTTTCATATGCTGCTGTGGTTAAATTCTCTCTCTTAGCTGCTTGTTCATGCAATGTATTTATTACCAATAAACAGTAGCTTTCTGCAAGGCTGAGAATCTATGCAACTGCAGTAACGTCTTGGGATTTGGCTAAGTGAGTTGGTTAAATCATGTGCTAGGTACCCACATCAGCACTGCCAGTTCCCAGGAAGAGGCCTGTGAAATTCTATAAAAGTTAGTGGACACCATGAAGAACTCTCAAGAGATTTATAAGTAAGAAACAATGCATGTTACTAATATATGTTACCCTATTCCAGCTCAGTGTTGAGCTTAAAAACCAACCAACGTGTGATCAACGTTTCTACAGCATGTGGTTTCATCAGGGCAGGAATTTTGCTTATTTCCATTAAGCTGGGAAGGTTTTTACTAGTAGCTGAGAAAATGAAGCATCCTCAAATAGCAATGACCCTTTGCTTTCACAGAATGCCTTTTAAAGGAAATATTTCAAAAGCATGCTTTCTTTCAACCGTCTACACCGCAGTCTACAGTGCTACGAACTCTTGCTTCATACTACAGAGACAGAGAGATCAAGGCGGCAAATGGCTCTCTACATTCCTACGCTGTGGTAACTGAATGAAGAAAAAGAGGGCCTTAAGGCTAAAAAGGACACTTGAAAGTTGCCTATTACTACGTGCTTTTGTTCCTACTGAGCCGTGAGGTAACATACAGA